TTTTTTATGATCGATTCGAGACTGTTAGCTCGAGATGGTGACGCGAATGGTCGTGCGCATGTCTCTTTACAGTCCCGCAAATCCTGCGGGATCCCGCACCCGTAATCCCGCAGCACGCGGGACTAAAAAATGATGCGGGATCCCGGAATACCGAGATCTCGGTATTGCGGGATTGGAAGCCCTATTCTGGAGTGGAGGCCACGTACCGGAAAACGTAGCGTGAGACGTCCACCCACTAGGCGGACCTATAACCTCATAAAGGTAGCAGGAAGGGGCTAGAAGCAGGCCGCTACCAACCGGTCAATACCTACGGAAATTGTTGGAGGAGGCCTATGTTTAGCAGCGGACGTCCTATGGCTGAAAGGATGATACCTGGAAGTCTTTAAACTAACTCTTCTAACTAACAACTTCGGACGCAGGTCGGCCATAGTAAAGACAATCTGTTCAGGTAGGGATTCTTGGATGACTCAAACTTGGAGTGCAAATGTGGTTTTGTTCCCCAGTTGACGAAGCACATGATGTCGTGCCCTGCGTGCTCAAACAAATGCACGCAGGAAGATTTAATGAAGGCTACTGACAACGCCATCCTTGTGGCGGAGTTTTGGGCTGACGCTGTGTAGATTTGTTGTCGACACGACAAGAAAGGATGATGATGATGATGGAGGAACATTGTCCAGTGGTTGGGTAAGAGTAGCAGTAGTCGTCCAAGTGTGTCGGGCCGAGCTGCAAGCATTCGTCGAGTTAGCAATAAATTATCGGGCCACATACAGCCTGACATGTTTCGCTCAAACGCGAAACAAGTCGGGCGCGGACACACTGGGAGTTCGCTCCCATTCTAGTGACCCTATCAGAAGGCGAATTGCCCCGTCATACCTAACTAACAGCCCCCTAGTTAAAACAAGAGCAAACATTCTGACAGGTGCAATTTCGTGAGTCTTTCTTGTGCGTAACCACTTGGCTCCTGCTGCCATACCTTTTATAAGTTATCAAAACTCGATTCTCCAATAGACTTTGTATGGCAATCAAGGCAAGGACGTCTCACTCAAATTCAATAGACTTACAATTTATTGATTTCAAAGTCTCAAAAATTCACAATGACGCGTTTTTAATGAAGTTGTCTTCTAATTTATTTTCCGTTAACCCCACTCGTGGTAAGCTAATTAAGCTTGTTAGGTACTAGTGTACCTATTCACCACAATAGTCCATCGGTGGCAGGGTTCGAACCCCCGTTCCTCGGGTCTCGATTCGGCCAGTCTAACACCGATACCACTGAGCTATTGTAGCTTTAAAATTTGGTAAATTAAATATTGGTAAGAAGTGTGGTGACGGCAGAGTAGAATACATTTGTCACCAACCCCTACTCTTCCTGCGGGTGTCGTAAGAGGCGACTTAGGGACTACACATCAAACAGAGAATGGGCAGCAGCGCTCTCTGAAAAACATCAATCTTTTAAACTGCGATCTCCAACCCGCCTGCCAAGCGTGGAGATTATGGCAAAACCCTCCACTATAGTGGAGGAGGCTCATAGTCCAGCAGTGGACTGTAAAGGGCTGTTGATGAAATATTGGTAAATACTGGCCCATTTAAACCAGTTTGTTGAGCTCAGAGGGCTTAGTGTGAGTTTACATCAAACGCGTTCACTAAAAAAGTATGAAAATTTTAGTTTTTAAAAGTTTCCGCTAGGGGCGCTGCAATGAGTAATCCGTTTAAAGTACACCTTTGATTTTTAGTTGGCCGATAGTTGCGCCCGATTTTAATTTGTATGAAGAATCGGCCAAATCGAATCGGCGTAGTGTGCGCACTCCCATACATGCCCTTACTGATCAACTGCCCGAGAACTAAAGTATAGGGACAAGGACGTAGTAAAATAACTTGTAGGGAGTCAAGAAGTGTGGCGCGGTGGAGTGCAATCTGCCCTAGGTAGCCGCAATTCCGCGCACACCTCCCGCGATTCGGCCAGTATAACCGCAAGGTTGGTATGGCCATGGGTGGTGGTGGGTTGATCAACTGCCCGACTAAACTATCGGCCGACGAAAAATCAACGGTGTGCGCCTACTCTAAATGTCATTTTTTCACGCGCTCACTGACTCACTAGTGAGCGCTTTTGTTGTAAACTCACACTGCCCTCTGTACATCGCAGCCTAACCTGAAACCGCTGCCTCTGTCGGGCTGTGATTACGCGTCAGCTAATGAGATAGTGCCTTAAACGCGTTGCCATGACAACCCCGTGATGTATTCAATTATCCAGAATTACCCCGTTTTATTAGCAAATGGGTAACGCAGGATCTGAATAATGATGAAGTTTGTATTATAATGTAACTGTTTACATTTAAAAACGTTATTTGTAAAGTAGTTTTTTAAATGTTTTAAGAGGGAAAATACTTTAACGGCATAAGTGTGATCTAAGTCTATCGCATAACAACAATGAGAAAACAGCATTGTTGTATTCCGGCAGTTGGAGGTAAGATTTCCTCTGTAGTTGAAGATTCCGGGCGAAAGTCGCTTCCTCCTTTGGCCTCATCATCACTTTCCATCAGATGAGATGCAGGCCAAGCAAGATCTTCTTCGTTGTGGATAAAAAAAACTTTACTAGACAAACTTAAATTCATTATTTAAACCAGTGGTTCTTAACCGGGTGGTCCGCGGACCACTGGTGGTCCCTGGAGGCATTCCAAGTGGTCCACGATGTGCACTTGCACACCTTAGTCAAAACGACTTTTAACTGATTATTGCAGTCAAACTGGTTTTGGAATTATTTCGATTATGAGGTGGTCCCTGACAAGACAGAAATTTGGTAAAATAAAATTCATTGATTTTTGCAAATAGGCTTTAAAAAAGCACTTTTCCCTTATGACTTAAAGGTTAAGAACCACTGATTTAGACAAACGCACAAAAGAAGACTAATATAGGTAAGGCTTAATTCCACCATCTTAATTTAACTATAAAAATCTATCAAACTCTGGGAATATACAAACAACTGAACTGACAGTTGCCGTTTTATTTTAAGACAAATGACTGGCCAAATGGGAATTACTATAAACAAGTCAATTAGTGACGTCACGACGATACAACATTGTCTTGCCGCTCGATTTTCTTGACCAACCTCAGTGTTACCAGTTACGGGTTTTCCCTGTAATAATGGACACTTGAGTTAATGACTTATCTTATATTAACTACTTTTTGTCGTAATTTGATATTTTTTTGTTTTTAAGTCTAATACCTACTTTACTACATACTGCATACATTTTGTTGGTAGCCGGCGACTGGTTGCGCCGCCATGGTGTCCCGGTGAAATATAGCCCTAAGTACATTTCCTTAAACAGTGTTTGTTTTTTAAACTTTTTGGACTGTCAATGTCAGGTAGTTACAGCGATACACGTGAGTATTGGAAAATGTTCTTTTAAATTATGTGGGTATCTCGATAAAAAAATGTCTAGAAGTCTTCCTTAATCAGTTTTTGTTTGTCTTTGTTGTTTTTAAACAAGATGTCAGTTTCTGATGCATGCAGTTTCAAAAGCTGGCAACATTGCTGACCGGTTGCGCGTGCGCAACGAACTCCTGTCTCTTTCGTTCGTACGTAAAAATGTGTCCATCCCTTTTGCTTAATTATATAAAGAAACTAGATTCAGTAGGCTTACTTCACCTTATAGGGATGCATTCTAATCGGCTAGCCACGATAGCCGAACGGTGAAGGGGTCAGACTGGCCGACTCGAAATCCGAGGAACGCGGGTTCGAACTCCACCGCTGCTCGACTATTGTGGTGAGCCCAGTCGTAACACAAGTATTATTTAGCTTAGTACGAGGGGTTAACGGTACCATTAGTAATTTGTGAAATACAAACAGGCCCCTCTTTCCCACTGGGCACTTTGGGCACGTGCCCAGGGCCCCGCGACCGAGGGGGCCCCCGTCTGCTCGAAAGACCTTTCTCCAGATGATAAGGGCCACTCTTGATCCTTAAGTCAGTCGGCCGTTTGGTGTAGTGGTTCAGAACGGACTACTATGCCGAGAGGTCCTTCCCGAGGGTTCGATTCCCGGCCGGGCAGAAATTGAAATGATGAATTTTAATCTCTGTGACGGGTCTGGGTGTTTCCTATGTATATGTATAAAAAGTATTTAAGTATGTTTATATCCGTTGTCTAGTACCCATAGTACAAGCTTTGCTTAGTTTGGGGCTAGCGGCGCAGTGTAAAATGTCCAAGAAGAAAAAAAGTGCCCAGGGCCCCTAGTAGGTTAAAGACGGCCCTGAATACAAATTACAAAAAAGTTATTATTTAAAAAAGACTAGCGCTGCCATCCGTCCGGGTTTCCACGGATTTATCCTAGTTTAGAGGGCATCCGGGGAGCGTCCGAGCGGGGTCGTCTTCGAGTCCTTATTTAAAAATTTCAAGTAGCCACCACCAAAATATTTCACTGACATTGAGACAATTTTCTTGAAGCGAAGAAAATAACATACCAAAAAAATCTGGAACTAAGCGATTCCGAAATTACAACTGCCACAAAATTAAATGATACTAACTAGGGGAGCTAGGGTAATATAAAATACGTCGCCTTATCAAATAGGCTAGATGACAAAATTTCAATTATTTGTTCGTCAGACAGATACCTTATCAGAAAATATTATGACTCATATTTTTTATTTTCTTTCATAATTAAATAAATAACAGTGCTACATCGAGTTGAAATGGCGCGTTACGTCACGCTTGAGTAGATTTTTTACTCAAAAGTGACGTCACGAGACATTTCAAGTCAATATAATACTGTAGGCAATTATTCGATTATGAAAAAAATGCAAAAATAAGTGTCCAAAATTTTTTTATTATCTGTCTGACGGACTAAATACAATTTCGATTTCATTACCCAGTCATCATCCCTATTGTCTTTTATTTACCCATTAAAATTTCTATCTGGTGAGTAAGTAGGTATCACACATTAAGAATTAAGTAAACCTGCTAATGACGTTTCTGATCTCAACTCAATTACATCGTAAACTTGACCTTATCTTTAATAATCATCTTGTCATTCGCGAAGTACCGAGCGCCGCGTGCGCATGTCGACTCGCGCACAGCGAACAATTAATTGCTATAGTTTTGTGTTTTTCCTACAATGGTAAGCATTAGTGCGTGTAATCACCTAAGTGTTTAGTTTTATTTAATTTTTATAGTGACTGTGAGTGCATTATTCTGTGAGTGAGGTAGTGTATTGTTGTAACCGGTTGGTAGCAATGCCATTGGTTGATTTTTGTTCCGGATTTTGTTGAAGATCAACAGGAAAAGGCGACGAAAAATATATAAATTTTATTGCTTTTTGGAAACCACTTTAAGACTACGTGCCTATTTGGCAAGGGTCATTAAGGGCTTCTTTAAATCGATTGACAACAAAACTTGACTATAAAAGAGTTTGTCGTCTACTAGAAGTAGTAAAACGCACATCTTAACAAAGTTATACAAATTCCACGACGACACATTTTGCCACAAGCCTGATTGATTGAATCGTGATTACCCTCAGAAACAACCATTTTTAAACAAAACAAAAGAATATGATAGACAAGTGTTCTAACCGTGAGCTAACTAGCAACTATAGNAACTAGCTAAGTAACTGTCTATCTGACAATATTATTAAACAACGCCCGTATTCACAAAAATTACCTACTATGAGGTCTCACAGTGCGCGTGGACGCTCAGGGTGACACGAGCCAATCACAGAGCTCTACTCAACGCTGTGCGTTCGATTTGCTGCTTCACTTAAGCAAGCATCGTTTGTGAATACGGCCGTAAAAGTTATGATGATGAGTAGTACCTACTTAAAAGGGCTCTATGCTAAATTGCAGTTATGTTAGCGTATATAACTAATTACTAAAACTATCATGCCAAGAGCTAAGATAACGTCACGATCTAAGAACTTGAATTCCTACATTATACAGGGTGGAAACGATAAGTGTGTGTGCTTTACTAAATGTATGGAAGCTGAAAATATTGCATTTTCGGTTATATCCAGTTTATTCTGTAACATATTATTGATACCGTTTGATAGAGCTTGTGAAGCGCTTTCAGTATCAGTAATCAACTTTTTGATTCCTTTTATAGTTTAGAAACAATCGAGTGAGATCACTTATCGTTTTCACCCTGTATTATTGTGATTCTTGTTCTTCATTGATCATTTTATTCGTCATCAATTTCGATATAATATCTAAAATCTTCATATCGCTCTCATAATGACCATAATATAATACCTACAATATCACGACAAAAAGCTCAATTCGAAAGCTTTGCCACTGGCCACAATAACAGTAAACAAAACTTCTTTTTAATCTACTTTTACCAGTCAAAACAGGATAACTGACCGTTAGTTCGACATCATTTGACATCAAATTAACACATACCTGTATCAACAAACAAGGAAAATATTGAGCCAGTCATTAGGCGTTAACCACACTACGTATGTAGTAAACGTAATTAATGCTACTCTATGAGTTCGGCGGACACGAATGAGAATTATTTACAGCCAGTATTACGCAATTGGAACAACAATAATATTATTTTATTGCAGTAAAAGGCTAGTAGGCATTGATTGAGTTAAGTGTGATTACTTGATATACTAGTAAGAATGGCTATTTTACTCTCGCATATTTATTTTGATATAGGTATTAGTACCTAAAGATATAGTGACCAAAGTTTAAGACGCCCGTTGTTGACGATATCAGTTTATTTTATTTTTTTATGTCAAAGCCTGTACGAATCAAATTTTGCAGCTTTAGCTAACGCCTTTCGTCAAATTGACTTTTTTAAAGTACCTATATTAAAAATTGTAAATTTAAAAAATTAAAGTCTGAAGACTTCATTTTCGTCGTAGTTAATTCATTTTTATGAAAAAATGACCGGATGAATCGATCTAGGTACATAAATATCAATCAGAAAAGACTATACTTTCAACAAACACGTGGTGTGGTATGTCCCTTACATTCTCACTAAATAAAGTTTGCATCAAGATGTCTCACTCCGTGTAGGAAATTAGCGACTTGTTGACCTTTGGCGGTTTGCGGTTTTTTATTTACCAGAATCGCAGATCAGATTAATAGTAACTTAACTATTAAATAGCTTTGTCTTAACTCTGCTTTTCCGGGTATTTTCGATTAATTAATTAATTTTGTTTTGAATGTCATTTCCATAAAACTTTCCACTATTTCGCGAATTTCTGAGAGAGAGTTGTAAAACCCAGAAGAAAACGCAACCAGTGAAGGTCAAGTTTGTCCCGTGAAGAAAGTTAAACTGTCATAATAATAGAATAGGGAAGTCGAAATAGCTGTTTGCACTAAACTTAGCGAATAAATAATTCTATTCTATTATATTCCATTCAAATTCCATCCAACACTGTAGTCTGGATTAAACAAAATAGTAACCAATATATAAAATAATTTTATCTAGTGTCAATAGTTCATGCTTATCGCATCAACTATTGTCGGGAATTGTTTACTTGTAACAAGACAATAAGGTCGACCTTATACTTATAATACTTTGAGATTTACTATGTTTAAAACACACGCATATTGTACACAATTAGATTTAAGTAATAAACTACTTTTTCCCACGGCTTCTCCCGTGGAAAGACACAAGAAATCGACCGCTCGCATGTTCCCCTACCTACCTAGGTATTTTCCTGAATCGCAATAAACTATCTCCATACCTACCTAATTTCATCTAAGTCAGTACCTACAGCGATAAGTTATTCCCCAAACTTTCACTCCCTTTTTTGAAAATTATAAATAACTTGAAAAAATCGAACTGCTTAAGGCGGGAATTGAACCCCTTCACTCCCTTTTTACCCCCTTAGGATACACTTCAGTTTAATTTAGTATGGATTTCAATACATCTTTTGAGGAGACCTGATTCGCATATTCGTCCCAGAAAGGTAAATTTAAATACAATGTCCATAACTGGGATCTAGCCCAGTTTAAAACAACCTTTGCCAGCTGCTTATAGTCCTACCCCAGGCAGACGACCTGCGTACAACCGGCTTTACGGGTTGCAAAGTTATTTTTGTACGCAATTGACATCATACGGTTACATGCGAGGTACCAAGGCAATTCAAGGCATAACAGCATTCTTATATTAAAACTAGCGGCCGCCCGCGACTTCGTACGCGTGGATCCCGTTTTTCTATTTTATTTTTGTCGTAAAATAAATGGTTAAATTACTAATGTAATTACTAAGTTAACAAGGCGCTACGATTAGGAAAAGAATAAAAGAATTCAATGTAACAATTTCTGGGAAATTATTATTCACTAGCGGCCGCCCGCAACTTCGTAGGTATGCGTGGATCCCGTTTTACCCCCTTCATCTATCTTGCGCGGTTTAGATTTTTTCATACAAATGTTTTTTCACGCTAATTCCCGTTCCCGTGGGAATTTTGCAATATCCTGTTGTAACTAAGCTTTAAGTTTACTAAGGTACCTGCATGCCAAATTTCAAGCGTCAACTTAAGCGGTTTAGATTTTTCATACAAAAGGATTTTCCCGCTAATTCCCGTTCCCGTGGGAATTCCTAAGTATACTATAACCTGCCCATGAGTATGAAGAATAATTGTACCAAGTTTCGTTAAAATCCGTAGAGTAGTTTTTGTTTCTATAAGGAACATACAGACAGACAGACAGACAAAAATTTTACTGCTTGCATTTTTGGCATCAGTATCGATCACTAATCACCCCCTGATAGTTATTTTGAAAATATACTTATTTCATGTACAGTCGCGGAATGAAAAGGTTCGTCACCTTAGTGTCGGTTTTCGCTTGCACTAGGTACTGTAAGAGTCAAACCTGCCAACATAACAGTGCAAGAAACAGTGCTGCTAACATTTAAATAAATATGACCTTTGCTAACGAATAAGGTTTTGCTTGTTTATTTTTCTATCCCATCAGTGCAATGTTACAAAATGTAGTTTTTTGTATTTAATAGATAAAGGCAGGTTGAACCAACAAGAAGGTTTTAGTTTATCAATCATAATAATCTTCTTGACAAGTTAAATCGTCTAACAACTTTGATCTGAATAAATTTGAACCTTACTGACGAACAGTTAAAGATTATTTTCTCTAACTCGAGATTATTCTGTAACATAGTTTCAAAAGGTAATATTATGTGCTCGCGATTCGTTGAAGGAATCAATTTGAAAACTGACGAACCTTTTCATTCCGTGACTGTACAGAATTGACCTCTCTACAGATTTATTATAAGTATAGATTATTGACAAAGATAATGTAAATAAAACTACTTTTCTAGTTTTATTTTATTTTATTTTATTTTATTTTAGTTCATCGTACACCCTGTAGATATTACCAGTATACAGGTTTATTTATAAACCGCCAGCACCCTCACAGCACAGAACTATTAGCTATTTATAAATAGCTTGAAAAAATCGAACTGCCTGAGGTGGGCATCGAACCCACGACCTTTCCCTCAACAACATTTAGTTCGGGGATTAGTCAAATCGCACTACCTGTATGTAGAATGCATGCTGCAATAAGCTTTTATTACGCCATTTTATCGATTTTGCTCATACATCTGTCTTAATCGATAAGATTTTATCACGGCGCGCATCCCAGCTGATCTAACATTTTCTTTCCAGATTAGACACATAACCTGCCTCCTGATCGTCGCGCTGGCTGTCCCCAGCTACGAACAGGATGTGCCAATATCACCCTGTCCCAATGTGTTCATGTACGAACCACTGGGCGCCGAGAAGAACAGGTGGTATGGTGTTGTCAACCTGTCCACCGATAGCACTCTCCATGGGTTATGGCTGAACATCGTGCTCGATGGCAAGGCAGACATCCTTGGGGTAAGTTTTTAACTTTGAGTAAAACAAACCAACCATAGGCAATCTCAGAAACTATAACCACATAACACCTACAAACATAAAATTTGGCAGGTAGATTCCTTATTGGGTGTAGACATACGCTAAGCACGGATTTTCGAAACTCCACCCCTAAGGGGGTAGAACGGGGTCCACGTGTACAAAGTCGCGGGCAGCCGAAATAGCAGTAATATTATAAATATATGTAATGTATAACCCAAACAGTAAGGGGCTGGAACCTGTAATAGGTTTCGGAGGCAAACCTTTGCTGTACAGGTCACAAACAATAACGACGTTTACATTTTAAATGACGTAAACTTAGAGTACTCAGACTTATTGCTTAACCAGACAGTCATGCATCATAAATTCCTATAGCTTTAACTTCATTATCAGATTAAAACAACTCTTCCTTTTCAATAAAAGAGATCTTCAAAAATTACGCAAACATGCCTCTTTCAGAATTGGATCGGCGACGTCTCGACGTCAGACAACAAGGACTTCAAAGTGGAGAACAGCGACATGATGATTCACCCTGGCCCAGCGGTGGCTGTGCGGTTCTTCGTCCAATACAACATACTCAACCCTACCCCCAAGCTTAAGACCATCAGACTGAATGGCAGGGAGATCTGCAATGCGGATATACGCTCACCAGTCACTCCAGACACTAACTGGGCTACGCCGAAACCCACCAAAGCGCCCACCAGGCCTGTTCCAGACAGAACAACAGAAAGGGTTGTCACGCAGAGACCCATAACAGAAAGACCTGTAACAGACTGGGCACAAGAACACCCGGTGTATAGACCACCTTCTGGCGGTAGTCCCAACCCTGTTGATATGTAAGTACCAATTTTAATCAGTGTCACTTAAGTAAGTCGTAAAAGATCGTGCTGAAAATTTTAATATGTACATTCCAGTCAAGAACACCAAAAAAACTCGGTAGCCAACCCCATTTAATTAAAAATTAATTAAAAAATAAAGAAATGGTAAACAAAATTAACATTATCTCAATTGATATCCAAAAATTTTCCTTTCTGTAATTAATAAATCTTGTATTTTTGTAAATATTGATATGAAATTTTCTTAATGGCATTTTGATTTGTATTTTATCATCACATTACCTAACTAATAGAGAAATATGGTATTCGGTAATAGGTATCGTTCATCTATGGATAAGGAAGATTCTAAGTTCGTAGTAGTTTTACTATAAAACATAATTTCAATTCATAAGGGGGCGGTCCGCCCCGGGTGCCAAGCATCAGGGGGTGACAAGTCGCGCAGATTAGTACTCACTGGCGCATCTGCATGGCAAGGACGGTCGTGATGTCATGACAGGGGGGTGCCATTGTGGGGTGCCTTAGGCTATAATTTATATTATGACGGGTGCCGCCCCGGGTGCCAACCTATGCTACGCCGCCACTGCTTCACCACTCAACTTTAACCATAACTATAACGATAACTGGTGTTTTTGTATGAAGTTTCACATAATCTTGACGTTTATAAAAGTTAAAGTAAGATGATGCAACCCAGCCTTAAAAACCTTTATCACCGTTTTGAAACATTTTGCTTGCTCCAGAGCTGGTGGTCATGACACCTCCAACGGCATCAAGATCGTGGACTGGCCTCCCAGACGTCCAGGAACCACCACGGAAGCAGATGACAGGTAATCATCATCGTCCCTTTAACTGAAAGATAGCCACTGCTGAACAAAGGCCTTCCTATCCTAATCATCATCAACATTATTTTAAACATCATTATCATCATCAGTGTTTTATTAGGTACCTATTTAGTTAGATAGTGGACACTATAGATCCAAAATACTGGACTGTCCTGTCGATGACATTGACAGTGGGGCGCCACCGTCAATACCGGATCGCTGGTTCAGATTTTTGCCATGTTGGAAACCATATAGTTGAACGATGGTAGCGCCCCCCTGTCATTGAGTTTGGCGGGACAGTTCAGCGTGGGTCATCTATAGCACTTGACTCAGCCAGTTCTTGAGGTATGACATTGACATTACTTATGACGTGACAGGGTAAAAAAAAAAACAAAAATCAGAAGCACATCAAAGTCTTGCTGACCGACGACATTATTTTTTTGTTGATGTTTTTGACCGTCACAAAATGACCCTCCTCGTAAATAGCGTCACTTTTAATCACCCATAAGTATGTACCACTGATCACAGAAACTAGAGGCAGATGTGACAAGGGGGCGGGGCCGGTGTCGCAGAAATATGCCCAAAAGCACATTGCTGCAGACGTCATAATGTAAACAGTTTATACATTGCTTGCGTAGAACTAAAGATTTTGAACGTCGAGTTGATACTGAGTTTCGAACTCAGCGCATTAGTTGGCATCACTCTATATCTCGTACTAATTTTAGAACTTCTTTCAGCCAAGAGAAAGGAGGTGGAGGCTTCGGAGGTGGTCTGCCGGTGGTCTTCGTGCCTGGAAGGCCCACGTCCAGACCCCCGATGTTCGACGAGGGGAACAACAACAAACCACAGGTGAACTATAATTTAAAGAAACTATAATAGAAAGAGATGATAAAATTTGGTGCGAATTCCGTTGTAGCTTTAAAAGTAAATCGATATTATATAGTAGCTAAGTATTTAAAAGCAAAAGGTCACTGACTCACTCACTCATCACGAAATATCAGAAACTACAAGTGCTAAGAGTCTAAAATTTTGCATGGGGATTCATTTTAGAACGTAGGTAGATGCTCACTAAGACGGGATTTTGCAAAATTCAACCCCTAAGGGGGTAAAACGGGATCCGTGCATACGAAGTCGCGGGTGGCTGCTAGTCTCATATAACTATGAAAGAAAGTTAAAATACCCAAAAGGCAGTTAAATACTTATTGTTAATCGTCCAAATCATAAGGCCATAACGCGGTAAAGCCCCGCACAAACCGGTATGTAGCAATTTAAATATAATTATGGAGAATCCGGTTCGACTTCTGAGATGGAGCTCTACATTACGATTTATTATTTATGAATTACAAAGATCAGACAAAACAAAGTTTAATTTTAGAACTTGAGTTACAAATAGGTACCTACATAGGGATTTAGATACCTATGATTCATAATAAATAACAAGTAGGTAGGTACCTCTACCAAATTCAAATGTAGGTAGTCCCATTCCTCAATATTATGGAACCACTATCGGAACCTTCTAAATAGCAATAATACGTAGTTACAGAAAATGTATTAATGATCATTAACATTTACTGACTCATCAAAAATTATGTCTGACGATAATTAAAAAACCCGAAATTCGTATTGGAGTTTTAAGTAAATCGCAGAATGTCATTGGAGTTTCCAAAAGTAATAAGTAGCTTTGCGTTGAGGCTGCTCTTTTTCTTATTTTTCTGATGACGATGTTGATGACGTTCATAAGGGACAGTTTAATCTATTAAACTGTAACTCGCAGAATGTCACTGGAGCTTCTAAGAACAAGGTTTATCATGTAGGCTGCTCTTTTTTGAAGGATGCCCTGATGACCACGTTCTTTCTGTTTTCGCAGGTGCAGTGCGGTTCAGTAGTGAAGCAGAACCCTAAAATCCTGAACCCTCTGATCGTCAATGGTGTCCCGACCTACGAAGGCCAGTGGCCCTGGCAAGTGGCCTTATACCAGACCCAGGTAGGAGTATCTTTTTTTAAGTATCCTAGTAAGATATTGGGAGAGAAATTGTTGTTCAAATCTTACAAATTGAATTAAGTAGTTACACCCATTTCTTGACCACCAATCGAGCTAAAATTTTGCATACACATGTTCGGATGACCTTGCATTAGGTTGAGGTAAGCTGGTCTGATGATGAAGCCGGAAGGAATTCTGTAAAGAAACGATGCAACCCTGTCGAGTTTGGGCCCATTTGATTTGTCTGACAAGTACCTACTCTCGTCTTTGAATCTTTGATGATATCAACGCCAAAGAGAACGCGCTTGTTCCTCACTCAAGAAACACACTAGGTAACACACTGCACAGCGGTAGATACGCTGCCGTCGAAGGTTAAAGAATAGAAAATAAGTTCAAATTAGGACTATCAAGCATATCAATCTGATTACTTACTTAGATTGTTATAGAAAAATTAAACTCATTGCTATATCTTATAATGTTCTGGAAATATCGATCCGTTATATTTATTTATTTATCTCCCTCCAGACAGTGGATAACAAGTACATCTGCGGGGGCACCCTGGTGTCGGAACGCCACATCGTGACGGCTGCCCACTGCGTCACCCAGAAAGGATCCAACAGGCTCACCGACAAGAACACACTAACAGTCTACCTGGGTAAACACAACCTGAGGACGTCGGTTGAAGGGGTACAGATCAGGCTTGTAAGTACATCTAAGTATATAAAACTCAAAGGTGACTGACTGACTGACTGACAGTGATCTATCAACGCACAGCCCAAACCACTGGACGGATCGGGCTGAAATTTGGCATGCAGGTAGATGTTATGACCTAGGCATCCGCTAAGAAAGGATTTTACGAAAAGTAAAATGGGATCCACTTCCACGCGTACGAAGTCGCGGGCGGCCGCTAGTAGCCCATAAAAGTCTGTGGGATATGATGCTCAACCACAATAAGGAAGCTAGATGTTAGTGCTTCCTTCCGAGCGGTTGTTATGCTCGGGGACCAAGGTCCAATTTACACCATCTTGGTTTGCCTATATACAGGTGGAATTTTGTAATGCCACCTGGAGGGAAAGTACTCTTAATACTGTAGATATAAAATTTTACTGAAAGAAAACATTCCTTAATTTTTGAAAAGAAAGAGAACGGCATTCAAAGGTTGTCGAATTTTTTTCGCAAATTCTCTACCATACCATACAATTTCCTGTACATAATTAAAATAATTTAAGATTTCATGGTTTTCCTTTCATATGATTTATCAAGTTTGTTAGAGAGATTTCGATCGATGCAATAAAAATACAGGGTGTAATTTTTTACAGATTTTAGTTGGTTCGAATTCTGGGTGTGGCAAGCAAATTTTTGGAAATCTTTGAATGCAGTTCTGTTTCTTTTCAAAAATAAAGGAATGTTTTCTTTGAGAAAAAATGTCTATCTACAATATTAAGAGTAGTTTCCCTCCAGGTGGCATTACAAAATTCCACCCTGTATACTTGGCAGGATATAAAACTCCGTCACCGCGATGCAGGTTTGTATGAGCGGCGGAGTGTGCCTTAATGAAGTAGTAACAGCGCCATCTGTTGGTCACTAGTTTGTAGTGGCGTCGCCACAAGTCTTAGAAACCATGTCAGTAAATGACACAATAATTACCTACCTACACATAATTATTAAAGAACGACAATTAAAGCGCCCTGGAAATGGGGCGTAAGTACTGAATAAAAGCACAATATAATAAAAACTTTGTCTTTGTCGTTGTTGCAGGTGTCTCATATCCACAAATACCCTGAGTACAACGGCTCGTCGTACCAGATGGATCTGGCCATCCTGGTTCTCCGGGAACCGGTTTTCTTCACCGACTGGGTGCGGCCGGTGTGCCTCTGGCCTGACAGCGACACCAGCCTCAATACCATCGTCGGGAAGAGGGGATCGGTGAGTTCAGATGGCCTAGCCAGGGATGGCGAACCTTTAAGTATCAACGTGCAACTATTCTAAAAAAAATGTTTGAAGTAGTCATAGACGTGCCATTAAATTAACCTAATGCTATCAATGAGGGGTATTAAACAAGTGGCGCCACTGGTGAGTGACACGACCTTACTCTACAGTGGCACTAACTGATGTGGGCAAATACGATAGCTCATAATCAAAACACATTATTTACTATTGAATTACTGAATTTGTGATTGGTGGCGTGCCCAAAATATTATGTCGCGTGCCATCATTGGCACGCGTGCCATTGGTTCGCCAACCCAGGCCTAGGCCATTGGTTCCCTAAGTGGGGGAGCGGGCCTACTATGTACTTAAGTATAAAAAACCTGCGACAGCTGAGAGAATGCATGCCAGACTGCGATACGACCAATAAAATAATCTTGACTGGAGGAGGGGGGGCGCGGAATTTCTTGTATGGTCGAAAGGGGGCGCGTCTCAAATAAGTTTGGGAACCAATGGCCTAGGCAGTGACCCCTATTACCCTGTAGACCCACTGTGGGACTACTTGCATAGCAGTGGGACTACCCCCTATTATAATAGGGGGTAGTGAACATTCTCATTGCAGGAATGGCCCATTTATTGTCCTTACTTAATCAGTGGTGGGTTAAACGTGTAAAAGTGCTTATAAAAGCCTAAGTAATTGTAGAAAAGAAACGACTTTCGTGGGATAGACGATACTGTTATGTATGGTAGCCTTTAGGTACTAAAGTAGTTACAAAATAAATAACAGCGAATCTAATTCGGAATCAGCTGCTTAATATTTCCCAAAACCTTCCAGGTGGTAGGATGGGGTTTCGACGAGACAGGCGTGGCGACTGAAGAGCTGAGCCTGGTGGAAATGCCCGTGGTGAAAACCGAGACCTGCATCAGATCCTACAGCGAATTCTTCGTGCAATTCACCTCGGAGTACACGTACTGCGCTGGATATAGAAACGGTAAGACAGGTCCACCTACCCTGTCCACCCACAAGGTAGACCGACGACCTGATAAAAGTAGCAGGAAGGCGCTGGATGCAGGCCGCTACCAACCGTGCGATGTGGAAGTCATTGGGGGAGGCCTATGTTCAGCAGTAGACATCCTGTGGCTGAAATGATGATGATGAAGAAGACAGGTTCTAAGACATAAGTTAGGCACACGAAAATAGACTAACGCCCGTATTCACAAACGATGCTTGCCTATAGTCTTTTTCNCGCCCCGTTCGTACCAGTGGGTCTAGACAAAGTGTAAATTATAATCGCAAACCAGTCGAAAAGTGGTCGAAAAGCCCCTTTTTTGTATGGAGTTTTGACGGATTCGATTTTCGATTCGATCAAAGAGTGCGTTTTGTCTAAGGGGGCAGAGCGTCGATGTGACGTCACGCCAGGTGCGCAGTTAACTGGGCCGGGTTGTACAAACCTATTTAATGGTGTTGTCTCTTTACATTGACACACTCATCCTCTGGTAACTCATTTATTTAATCAAACATTTGCCCCCTTGCATTATTTTGTAAATTGCCTAGGTACTTAAGTATACCGTGTGCGAGCCCCTGAGCTACGAGTATTCAACGTACTTTTATTGCTGTTTCGATGAGAGTGTACATATAATTCATATAAATTATTATAATTATTGATAACATTACCTACACCTACCTTCCTATAGTATAGTAGAGTGGATATAAAATTCGTTTATTCTTTTATAGAAGAAGTCACGATTTCAAGGCTGGCCTTTATAATACAAGGTACTCGAACAATCTAGCGTGCGAATATTATAATTTAATGGCATTATTATTGTTAATGTTAACATTTTCCTTATAAAAACGGGTATACTTGCAGGAACCTACGATGAACGAACCGGAAGAATAACAAGTATGCCGTTTGTTATGAACAATTAATTAAATTAACACACCTAAGCATCAATAAGCAATCGAAGGGCACTGAGCTAAGCATAATAACTTAACACAAAATCTTACTATAATTACTTACAAATTAATTAACTAAGTAACCACTAAGAGCTTGGATCCAATGTTATGAATAGGTGATAGGTCTGCACGTAGGATTGCATGGCACTAAACCACAATTTAATAATCTTTTGCATGAGATAGAAGTTAATTCGAGTTAACAGAACAATGAAAATTATTGTAATCGCCCTACGATCAAACTAATTATCACAAAAGCACATTCTATCTTTCTCTCAATCTTAGAATCTATGGTGCCTAAATACGCTTTCGTAAAGGTAGCAGGGAAGCGCTGGACTCAGGCCGCTACCAACCGATCAACATGGAAAGCATTGGGGGAGGCCTATGTTCAGCAGTGGACGTCCTATGGCTGAAATGATGATGATGATGATGAAATCAGCCTATAAGAAATCCGGTACCCAGCCTATAAGGAATGGATAACAGCCTAACTCGCAAGCGCTGCGGTCGCTTTTAAGGAGCTAAGTTAAATGATCTAACCCAAAAAAATCTGACAAAGGGCCAGAAGCTGGGTAAGTACCTATAACTTTTTCAATTGTTCAAACCCTAATAGCCTAATCTTACACGGGAATATTCCCACCTCTCGTTCCCACCGCTGCAACTCCTGTGTAGCCAGGATCTACAGCTTGACCGCCAATAAAAACCCAACTAGTGAAGGTCAAGTTTGTCCCGGGGGAAAGTTAAACTGTCATTGCCTAAAGTCCGGTCGGTAGAAATTCGTCCAATGACCCCAAACTACCCATCCTGCACAGTCGTGACTAAGCGATTAAGCGCGAGCGATAAGGATGGGTAGCTAAGGGTCATTGGACGAAATTCTACGTGCTCGGCGGCCGGACTTTAGCCTAATCTAATACCCAAATTATTAAATTAATGTGTTTTACCAGGTACATCGGTGTGCAACGGCGACAGCGGTGGAGGGATGGTTTTCAAGATCAACGGGCTATGGTACCTCAGAGGGCTGGTCTCCCTCTCGGTAGCTAGGCAGAACGAGTACCGCTGCGACCCGTCGCACTACGTCGTGTTCACTGATATTGCTAAGTTCTTGCCTTGGATCAAGGCTCGTCTTAGCGAGTAGGTAGTCTAGGTAATAAATGGTTTGTACAGCCTGAACGAGCTAACTGCGCAACTTGCTGGAATGCGACTCTCCATCCCACTTACCAGCACACCTCATTCGCCAGTCCATATTAGAGCGTTGATGTGACGTCACGGCTCAAGGTGCGCAGTTAACTCTAACGGGTTGAGAGATATAGACCGTTTCATCCACTAAGACGCGCCCCACCATTCTTCCGCTAATGTTTGAGTGTTAGGTACACGCTAAATTTCCATGAGTGCCCACGCACACTACAATAATGACGCTCGGATTGCTCAGATCAAACTCCCCGCACCCCGCGCTACCCTCGACCAAAAATTCTTCGTGGATGAAACGATCTATTCTTATAGGGTCGGCGAGTCATGCTCTCTAACGGGACCACATGGAACTCTCTAAAATTGTATTGGTGTACCTACTTAGTAAGAATATTATGTAGAATTAAAATGTAAACTCGTACTTATGCATTTTAAGTTATAGGAGGTACAAATTAAGTACAAATAGTCAGTATCGAAATTGCAGCTATTGATCAAATAATGAGGAATATTATGAACATTATAAGAACATTATGGATGTAGCAGATCTACTTATTTCAGAATAAAAATATTCCCAATGGTTGAATGGGATTTGTTGTGTCAAAATACATTGTTTCTACCATAAAAAGAAGTCACTGTTTAAAAACCATTGATCATCATTTCCTCAATTTCCTATTCATCTATAAACTTATACAAGTGCCACATACTTTAATATTTTTTTTATATTCATTGCGAAAAGCTTAAGATATTGTTGGTAGATTTGTTGTAAAAAACCTTAAATAAGTCTTGTATAGTCTGGTCGCCGAGCACGTAGAATTTCGTCCAATGACCCCAAGCTACCCATCCTTATCGCTCGCGCGTAATTACATATGTTGCTGTCGCGCTCGCACACTCACTGCGGGCGTCCGTGGCAGAGTCGCGACAGCAATAAAAAAATTATACGTGCTCGGAGACCGGGCTTTAGTATATTTTACGTGTCGCTATTAGGTGCCTTTTGCCTTATTTGGCGCCTCTTCTTGCCGTATTAGGCGACCCTCGCCCTAAGTTGGTCATTCCTTATAGCCTAGATGGCGCTGTTAATAGCAATAATTTTTGAGATTCCTTTTATAGAAATAAGACATTGTGCAGACCAGGTGCTAAAAAATCTCTAGACAATGTGACGCGCATTATAGATTTCGATTCGTCGATTTTATAACTGTAACACAACGAACCAAACACAAATCTACATTGTTCGATGCATTGTCTAGTAGCGCTCGATTTTTTTATTATTCGCATATAAAACTGCGGATTGTAATATGAAAATATCACTGTTCAAAAGAACTATTGTATTGTTGGAAAATTAAATACTTAAGTCTGAATTCTTGACATTTTCGTAACATTTTATATTATTGTATTGACTGGTAAAAAATAAATAATGATAATCGTAAATTGAACCATTAAACTTTTTAAGAACAAGCCTTTTTCAATTTGCCCTCTCATCTTCTTAAAAATAATTTCGTCAAGCTGAACCTAGGTAATTTTGTATGTACCTTTATTCGATAATAAGCTTGAAAAAATAGATACCTAAAAATCTTATTACTCTAAATAATTTGATAAGATTGTGTAATAAATATGACACAAAATCTAGCTAGAAAAATAAATCAATCATAAAGAAGCAAAAGTAAATTAAAATACCGATCACACTTCCAACGTTTATTATTATGATACAAAGAAGAAAAATAGACGTTCTAATTACTTTACAACAAATAAAATGAAAAATGTGTAAAAAAATCAATTTACAATAATAAATGAAGTTTTTACTAAATAGATCGGTCATTCGATCAATGACATTTTTATTAAAATTAAGTTCATTATTTCAGTAAATGTTATCATTATTTTTATACAAAAAGGGGCAAGCTGACATGTGTAGTGTACCCCACAAGGGTCACCTGACCCCTAGACCAAGCGAATATTTGTGAAGGTTCGGACAAACCAACGCGATCACAGCGCGATCAGCCGGCGTGCAGCGATGGCGACCAGACCTAAATGCATTGATCGCCATCGCTGCACGCCGGTTGATCGCGCTGTGATCGCGTTGGTTTGTCCGAACCCTGACAGATTCAATTTCGAAGTCGCTTCACAGAAGGAAGTTACTTATAGAATACGAAGCGAATGCATTGTAATTTACCCTTCTACTGATATCAATTCACATCAATCGAATGACCACATACAGAAATAATGTAAAAAATGAAACCTTAAATTAAATAAAACTAACTAAACCCAGAGGTTAAAACAGCCTGAATAAAATAAAACCAAAGTCTTAAGAGAAAAAACTAAAATCCCTTCTGCGCATCAAACAATAGATGACAAAAATGCAACGACTTCATAGTTCGTCGGTTAAGTTCTAAAACCATATAAGTCGTTTTGAGCCGTTTATGTTGTATGTCACGTCCATCATTTGCTAGAAAATCTAAATCTAAGTAGTTTTATGAGTCATTTGTCAGCCATTTTATTTGGGCCCATCATACACAAGAAAAGTCCAAAAGAAACTTATAAATTGAGTATTACTACCAGAATGGTGTACTAGTTGTACACAGCAAAGTTCGAGTTTAGGATGAACGTGGTTTTAGAACTTAACCGACGATATTAAGGTATACTCACATAGATATGTAACGTGCATGTTTTGTATAAGATATTAGGCTCATACACGCACCTGCCTGTTTCTTATACAAAAATACCGCACAACATACAACTTAAAACGACTTTAAAACTTCGACAAAACTAAATTGCGATCAACGCAATTATTTTAATATATAGCATAATCAAATTACCACTAACGACAAATTTGATTTTGAACCCTATTTGGAACTACACAAAGTTCTATTCATTGCTACGTCATTTTGTGGTACGTTAATATGCCGGTTACTGTACATACCCAAAAAATTGGTAAAAACTTCCATTAATATGGTACATATTTCATTAAATGAACAATTAATTTATCATTACAAATAAAATTTTACTAACGTTATTTTAGCCATAATCATAATTTGCTCCGGGCAAAGCAAACAAGGACGGATGACTGTTAGTGCAAAATGATCTCTAGGACGCAGTACTTTGGTTTATAATTGAATGTTCTATTAGTACATAAGTCAACATGCATTAGGTAAATTATTGCTGGAGTTGTCTCTCTCACTCATTAAACAAACCAGGAAGGTGTGAGAGAGATGTAGAGTCAGGTCAAGTTTCTAAAATTTTCTAGTTACGAGTTTAAATATTCTAACGTAGTCAAGGTACATTAAATACAAAAAATGTGATAGTATAAGTATTTATTTCATGGATACTACAATAACTTTCCGCAAAGATTTAAAATCCACTATGTGACCTAAACATTATCCAAATTGCATACACACAATCACACAATGAATCAACTGCAGTGCCTTAAATAATATTTACAGATATGAGGTCTAACTTCTCATACTCATTACTTAAAAAAAGGTTTTAATTAAGACACATCTATGCAGACATAGAAATATACTTCCAGGACATAAACACCTTGGCTTGGAGATCTGGTAGATGATTTTCCGTAGGAATAAAGGACGAAGCACACTTATCAACCCGGAAACGGATCGTAACCTACAATGTACTTTAGCCAAGGTATAAATTAAAGAAACTCCTGATGCATTATCAATCTTGCATGTGTCTATTTCCATCTTCGTACACAAGTACTCAACCAATTGGAGTAATAATAAATGTAGACATACTAAGCTCTGAAAATTCTACTTAACGCATGATGATGTGAAAGTGTTAATAAATATGGTAGGGACTACTTTGAAGACACTAGAGACAAATAGAGACATGTGATTTTTACCAAGACATGTCTCTCAACTACTTACTACTTGACGTCAGACACCAAACTTAATAAGAATTAAATGCAAGCAAACCTATACTTTGTCGCAAGTTGACACGATCTACAATCGCAACGTCTTATCACTTAAAACAGACTAGCACATCATTTATTTATCTTAAAATTACGGGACAAGGACAAATCCAACCTCTCTTTCCCACCACTGCAACTCCTATCCAAGATCCAGTTTGTCCATGAAACCCAACCAGTGAAGGTTGAGTAGTCCCGGGGATAGGCTGACTGTCTTGGAACCCGCAACGAATTTTATCAGAAGAACATAGGAGTTCGAACTTTATTACCTCCTTTCTTAACATTATAAGAATTGAATGAAACTTTAAAAGTATTTCTACGTCTATTATTAATCCAATGGTTATGTCTGACTACCAATAAGGAGACGGGCCATTCCGGCACCTCTGGCCCTTGTACCTTTCTTCGAACCCTGGCGCCCAGGGTGGGTTTCTGCCTCCCCTGGCCGATCTGGGGGTGCCTTTCCCTGGCATATAGTTGGGGAATCCCAGCCTGTTGGCGCAGTTTGGTCTGCAACCATTCCGAGGTGTGTTGGGGTGGCTGCCCCCTAGCGGAGGCGATGGAAAACGTTCCCACGGTTCAGGCACCATACAACTGCCGCAGTTCCAAGCGTAATCTCCTATGGGGATGACAAAATAAAAATAAGAACTCAATATAATGGTAACGGTGTTGAACAACCGCCCACTAAATATAAATATTAAAAAATATATAAANTTTTCCAATTGAATCTTAGCTAGAGACTGGAACAAGTTTCAGCGTCGTTTATAATAATAATTATGGACTGTACTGTAATAGGATTTTATTATTATGTTCAAAACTTAGAAAATGGTATCCTAAATTGGTATTGGTATGTTATAATAAAAAAAAACATGCATTAACTAGTGTTTAGTGAGCGTTTGTGCAATTGGAACTAAATAAAAGTTGAAAATCTAAAAATTTAAATTATCATACCCGCCAAAAGGTGTTAATTATACACATCAAGCTTTAAAAATATGTTATAAGACACAATATCCGCCTTTGTTAGTAAAACCAACCATATTAGTAAAGCTTAAGCAAGCATAGACGACAGCACATCAATCTAAATAATGTGGCATCTAACGTAGTAAGAATAGACGCTATTTTGCAATAAAATTGGCGTATATTCTGATGTGCTGTTGACTGTTAAATAAAGCGTTCATAGATAAATAGACGTTATATTCTTAAATGTGTTATTTATTAGTCGTTACAGCTCTAATAAGGCCCGGTTTCCACCAAGGTGGAGAAGAGTTCTGAATAACCAATGAGAATTCCTGGTTTCCTGAATAATGAAATCTGATTAGTTATTCAAAACACTTCTCCGCTCCGCTTTGGTGGAAACCGTGCCTTAATTTGGGATAAATATCCGAAGATTAATAACCAAATGTTTTTAAAGATCAATGTGTATCTTTGAGTAGGTAGGTACTGTAGTATAATAATTACACAAAAGAAGTAACTCAAAAACGTTCCAAATAAACCAAACAAATAAAATATAATTGTCAGAAAAACTATGATTCGTGAATAATATTTATTTTTACATCACTATTTATTATTTGGCCTGAATTTGGAAGAATACTTTGCGTGTATCGTTATATTTCCCTTACGTTTAGGTACGTTTTACATTAATATATCCAAAATATAGTTCAGTTAATACAAAAACAAATTATTACTTAAACTTTCAAACAAATATTTTCTTCACGCAACAATCAAATATATTTTTATTATTTATAACTAGCAACACAGGAACTTAAATTAGGCACAAGAAATACACATTTTAGGCCTACTTTAGACATAATTAAATTTTATTTCGCCATTATTAGCTTGAAATAACACTAAAACTCTCAATAATTACAATATTAGGCAAAACTACAAGAAAATTTTAAATGATTTTCCGTATGTGCTCATATTGTTGCAAAACGCTAATAAATAATGCGAAATATAAGTATAATTTCTTTCTTAATTCAAAGAATTCAAGTAAATATATCAACAGTTCTAAGTCTGTCTTAAAATTGTTTCAATTAATTTCTTAAAACTACAACAAAATAGTAATTTTATAGCGTTCAACAAAATCTTGTGTTTCTGCCATCTACTTTAGATATAATTCACAAAATAACAATCTTACTAGACTTATCTAAATTAATAGTAATATTAGGGGCGCTACACATTTTTGCGAGTCCACACGATCATTCATTAGTCAAATCTACAAAATATTCGATTCAATACCGACCAATGCAGACCCGCATTAGTGTGTTACGCCCCTTAGACATTATCCTTCTAAATAAATTATAATGTAATAATCTACAATATCATAAGGCCAATATAATTTAAAACCTTAACAATTTAGCAAACAAATCGTTTTAAAGAACTATTAACTAGTATCTTCTAGATTCTGAGCAGTTTTAATTTTCCTTTAGAAAATAAACTATAACCTAGAACTATTAAGAATTTTCAGTAGCCAACATATTATCAACATGTCACTAAACCATTCCGCAATGATTTGAAACCTTATACAAAGAAAATAAAGTTAAAAATCCTTTGGGAAAAATATACCGTTGAATACTGATGTACCAAAAGGGTGCTTAATATGGTCATCTCACCAGATGTCGCTGTATTGTTTTGAGCTATTTATTAAAATTAATTCAGCCAACCAAATTTTAGAATATAGGAAACCTTTAATAATGCATAAATAGCTAAATCAGCGTCTAGGAAGACTGGGTATCTTAACGCAATTTGACGTTACATTGTCAAAGCTTAAAACAGCTACATCTATCAAACCGTGTTGATATCAATTATGACATTGTGGAAGTGTTATAACATTAGATATTAAAGGTTTCTACATTGAGCAATGGTCTGAATACTCAAACGTATAAGGTGGGCCTAATAAGGCCCGGTTACTTACAAGCGCCATCTAATAAAACTAACTTTTTGTTTTCTTTTTTCAAAAAATCCCGTTAAGCCCTCGTGGTAAGCTAAATATGCTTGTGATTTGAGGTTAACCACAATAGGCGAGCGGAGATTCAAACCCGAGTTTCTCGGATCACAAGTCGGCCAGTCCGACTTCACCGATCGACTATCGTGGCTTCGATAAAATCAAGAGGGTTTTTTAGCAACTGGGCCATATTAGGCGACCTACTTTTCCCTATTATGTACTGACGACTGCACATCGAGATTAACATTATAGCACCTTATTTAAGTGTTGGGTGCGATTTTGTAACAGTCTGATGTGCTATCAACAGTACATTTATGTATCCTACAGCGATGAATGTACACTATTCATAAAATACCAAAAACTTTTTTAGTACGACTAATTAAATATGTGTAATAAAAATCTAGTATTTAAAGACATAAAACTTCATCACAGGTGATAAATCAACAAAACAACTATGCCCAATCCCCAAGAGACATGCTGGAATTTGGACTATCGTTAAGGCTGAAAATAAATTGAAGAAAGTAATTTCTTGGTGCCTAATGCTGATGGGTTACACATTTTTTGTTTCCCTTGTAAAGCACTAAAACATTAAACTCTACTTCATAAATTCTAATAATAAATATTGTTAGCCTATCAATTAAAATTAATTACTTAACACGTTAAAATTTAACTTCCAAGTAACAAACTTCAGACCAATTTGATTAAAATGTACACTATATTAACGTCATTATGTGTCATAATCGAATCAACACCGCGTAGTTTACACGTCGCATTAACAATCGCATCCAAACTTTAGATGGTACAATACTTAGGTATTAAACTTTATTTAGGCACAATTCACATTTGGGTACTAGATCTAGCATTCTATACTACGTACCGCATGCAGTGAGAATATGTACAAAAGTGTTGAGTTCCTAATATTTTAGTTTAAAATAAAATTAGCTATAACGACACATTAGCATAAACTAAAAATAATCCAATATTTAAAAATCGTACAACACACTTTTTATAGAGGTCATATTAGGGAGCCTCCGCGATCCATTGGTGTCGTTTCACATAGTACATTATGACATAGGTCTTATTAGGAAACGATAATAACTAAATGTTATTCGAACCTGAAAATAATGTGAAGTAACTCTAAATATTAAAAACCAATCACAGGCCTGGTTATATGAAGTTTTTACTCAATTCTAAGCGGTAAAACTTTTTAAGTAAATATTCTCACTGTGCTTATTTTTTATTTTTTTTATATTAATGTCACTACATAATAATTATTTAATACATTTTATGACAATATATTTATAGAACATATTATTTAATTATTAACCTATAAGGGACGTGAAATGTTGTAACTGGACACCAGGAAATATATAAAATTAATTAATTTAATAATAAATAATAATGTAAATCTACTAACACAGTTGATTCCATAATACAGTGGTATGTAGTATGTATGTACGAGTTTCGATAGGTAGTCACTAAAGTCATTTACAATATTACTGGATTTTCGTGCGTTCTGTATCAGAATAATCCACAACAGTGAAATAAATAAGTGGCCAATATGGGACAAACACTGCTAAGATCTAATTGGTAAATAAAAAATTAAATAGACGTTGGTCAGCTGTCAACAAACCAAGTAAATTCATCCCCTTTGGTCAACATTGGCCCAATATGGACAAGATGGTCCAAATATGGACATGATGGCCCAATATGGACATAATTATTAATGCCCCAAAATGCGCTAAACCAATTTAATAATACGTTAAATGCACTTTAAATAAACTCTGTGAACTGCAGGCATTCATTAAAAGTGCTAATTTTATATTAAAATAAAAATATATTATTGAACCAGTATCCTGGTGTCCACCACAAACGGGAAATAGAAGGAATGGATGGGGGAAGTGGAACAACACGCGTAGACTCCGAATAAACTACTAAACATCCGAATCACCTCAGTATATTGTCAATGTGACGACACGAATCATATTGGCAGCGAAAAATCTTTTTTTTATGCAGGAAAAGGCAGGTATTTGACCGCAATCGTACTTGGTGTTAAGTAAGATGCAGTCTAGGAGGGTACATATCTGCCCTGTAAGTGCCTATTCACTCTCGCCTTGAAAGGGCCCGGGAAAGATAGCAGCAGGCAGCGAGTTCCAGTCCCTAGCTGTTCGCATTATAAAAGAGTCATCGTAACGCTTAGCGTGGGCTGCTTATGTGAGCTGGTGGAATGCCGACAATTTAGGGATGGTACGCTAACCTTCGTCTGGTTTCCTTGAATTTTATCGATAAAATGCCTCAAATCTAGAGTCTAATTAATATAAGCTGCCTTTATGATTCAAGTCCAACAAATTACAAAACTAACACCGATACACCGAAATAAACTATCTTTTACATATTTAAGAGACTTAACTGGTAGGGCTGATGATCACAAGAGAGTATTTTAGAGCTTACGAAAACGAGTTGATGCAAATTTATACGATACAGGTACAGCAGCGTCAAATAGTTGACGACACCAAAAGTAGCCAGTAAGTTTGTTATCAACTCAACCTTATTCCCATTGTAACAAAGATGTGTTGCGAACTTATTGGCTATCTTGGGTGCTCGAAATACGGACGCTGACTGTACCTTTAGATGTCATTGCCAAAGTGGGGAATATTGGCGGTAGCGTTCCCTAA